CATTGCATATTCAGGGGCCATGTATCCATTGAAACAATATCATGAAAAAATATTGAAATTACTTTTTAAGTTATTGCATTAATCATTCAAAGCTAAAGGAAAACTCATGGCAGAAATAAATGATTACTAGCAACTCAAATCGACCAAAGGCAATATATACTTACTATGTTCCTACCACTCTTACAGTGCTGGCATGATCTTGGTTGCCTCCAAAAATTCTTGCCATGCCAAAGTCTGAAATCTTTGGGTTCCAATCATTATCCAGCAATATGTTACTTGGCTTCAGATCTCTATGAACTATCCGCAATCTAGAATCTCTGTGAAGATAAAGAAGGCCTCGGCCAATACCTTCAATAATGCTGAAACGTAGTCTCCAATCTAAGATATCTTGTGATGGATCTACAAAGAAAACACCCAGAGGAAAAGAATGCATTATCTATAAATTCTGAACCCCATTTCAACAAAAATCTGTGTAGGCTGTGTTGTAATCGTATTAATTTTAAAATTTCAGAAGGGATGAATCTTGCACTGACCAAATAGATGTGCATCCAAGCTTTTATTAGGCATGTATTCATAGACTAGCATCTTCTCTCCCCTCTCAACACTGCATCCCAGCAGTCTAACGAGGTTCCGGTGTTTGAGTTTGGAAATCAACGTCACTTCATTCATAAATTCTTTCATCCCTTGTGTAGATACTTTTGATAGCCTCTTGATTGCAATTTCTCTACCATTTGCCAATTGTCCCTAAATAGAAGCAACAATTTCAGCACTTCTAAATTCCATGAACCGTGATACTTGAGATGGATAAGGAAGAAAAATAACCCTGTAAACTGGACCAAAACCGCCCTTTCCAAGCTTGTTAGCATCGTGGAAATTGTCCGTCGCATTTGCAAGCATCTCAAATTTAAATAATGGTAACTCTTCGATGCCAGCATTGCTTATATCTTCTTCATGAGAAACATCAACTGAATCAGATGGGCGTACAACCCCATGTTCTGATATCATCGTGTTGCCTGATTCAGAAGAAAAGTTATTTAGTGCTAGCTGCATATATATGCCTTGTTGAGTGAAATTTCTAAACATTACCTCTTGGTTTAGTCATGAATTTCCAGGAAAAGAATATGATAATGGATATGGAAATCAAACCAACGATAACCATAATTATTAGGACTAACTTAAAGTCTTTCTTATGACCTGCAACAAAAGAACAACCATCATATTGAAGAAGAAAAACTTAGTTGTTCTTAGCTGTAAAATAACAAACAATAACCTCATAGGGACAACAAGAAGAGCACAAAATTTATGCAACAATTACCAAATTCCGAATTTGCCAGTCGAATGAAAAGATCTGAGCCTGCAGAGTCTTTTTGAATGTTAATTAAGCTTCCAGTCCAGAACAGACAGCCAATACCAGTGTCATGAGCATAGGCTATGCAGGAACAATTCTTCATGCATAGACCTTCACATTCAGATTCCTGACCGGGCTGCCGATCTCCATAATCTGGAACTTTCATCGTTTCTAGCTTCAAAAACCTATCTTCTTTGCTCCCGCTATTGGAGCCATTGTTTGTTTCACACTGCAAATCTATCCTCCTCACGCATCCACTTGTCCAGTTCTCTGCTTTCCATTCCCCATCGTCCTGCGGATAAAACCCTCTCAAACAGGTACAAATAGGCGAGTTTTGTGAGTTGCAGATCCCAAACGGTCCACATGTGCCATTACCACAAGAAGTAGTAGCCTTCTCAACTACGGTAATACTGCGACTTATTTTCATTGCTGTCAAGAATGACCCCGAAGGTTGCTTAAAACTTTCCCATAATTTACGTCCACTAGAAGATTCTATCAAAACAAGATTTCCAGAATCCAATAGCTGGGCAGTCGTATTCATCTTAGTATTTTTAACATTTGACGACCAAAGAATTTCCTTGTCCCTATACATAACCACAATATTCCCATCTTTATATATCTTCACAGTACCAGAAGAATCGTTCAAAGCTTTATCCCTATTTGCTATCCACACCACAGAAGGTTCAGAAACATTTTGGTTATACCAAATACCTAAATAACGCCTGGAGTTATTAAAAGGACTGAAAAATCCCAATTTGAAGTGCTTACCCTTCGACACTATAGTTTCAGGGTCTTTAATAACTAGATTTGCTGTAATGTTGTCCCTTGATGTGCAAAATCTTGAAGGGCAACAGTAAAGCACAACAAGGATGCATAGAACAAGAGAATTCAGACTCTTACCCGTGATCATGATCAAGCCTCTTGCTCTGATGAATCGATTTCTGATTCCCAAGAACAGACAAATTCTCCACTATTCAGTTTTGTGGGTCTAGTAGAATTAGATCATTCTCGACGAAAATTGGCAGTGTTTCTGTACAGAAATTCAAAGGGTGCAAGTTTGAGCTAAATCATGAGCCACAAGCCATCAAAGAAGAATGAACCAGCCTGCAGATTTAGACAAGTCTTTTCATTTCTTCTATTTTCCTTATCGTACTTATGTCTTCTTCTGGGGTGGGCGTGGTGGAGCGGAAACAAAATGGAAAAAGTCATAGCCTCTAAGCCATAGGATTCTGGGTCTTGATTGACACAATGCTCCGTTTGCCCCCATTAAATTTCATTACATTAAATTATATTTTTCTCTTTTATTTTCAACCACATAATCTTCCATAAAATAATATTACACATAAATCGAAAATTTTTCCTTCTTTTTCAATTACTCATTTTTCAAACAAATACTATTCCGCTCCTTTTCATTTCTAGAAAATAGGGGTCAAACGAGGGCAATATCAATTGACATTTCCTAAATATAGGGATCTCAAACGAGTCGAGCGGCTCGTCAGCTCGACCGCTTGGCTAGTCAAAATTAGGCTCGTGGGCGACTCGAGCTCGTCAGCAGAGAGCTCAATCCTACAAGCCGAGCCTGCTCGGCTCATGGGTCGTGTGCCCACGAGTCATTTTGACGAGCCCACGAGCCCGTAAAAAAATATGAAATTTTTTTTAAAAAAATGTTCAAAATGTGCAAATTTACACAAAAATAAATAAATAAATTACGGGCTCGTGGGCCGAGCCAAACTTGAACTCGGCTCATCTTTCACGAGCCACGAGCTTAGCTCGCTACGAGCCTGAACCAAGCGCGTGAGGTCGGCCCATTATCATCCCTACGTAAATACTTGACAATTTATCATCAAAATAACCTCCTTAGAGTAGTAGGTGTAATCAAATTTCCTGTATCGTTTTCTTACAGCAAGTTGTCTCTTAGTACCTAAATAAAAAAATGATTTTTCTTTAGCTTTTTCAAAGAGATCATTTCCCTATCTTACTTGCGTATAAATGGATAAGAAACGGCTTGATGAATTCTGTATTAAAACTTTTTGGCTGGTTGGCCCTTGTTGGGGAGGACAACGTTTAGAACGCGAATCTGTGGGTCGAGTTCAGTTTCAGCAGATCGTTAGCGTTGAAAGTTTACTATCAACAGCCAACGTCCGTGATAGTGAGATTTTTATTAATATTTAATTAAATAATATTCAAAAAATCATGCGGATTAGAGCTAGATACACCACTAAAACTAGAATTAGATACAAACTTTTATTTTGAATAAAAAAATCGTTCCATAATCTGCAAAATATCCTAATTTATTTTTCAATTAAATAGGTAATATATATTAACAAAATGTCAATATTCAATTTACAACTAAAGTTAATTAAGCAAGCATTATTATATTAATAAAATTGAAATTATAATTATGCACTTGGTGTGATTTCACTTTTTCACAATCGATTTTTGTGTACGAAAAGTGGAACCTTTTATTAATTAAATAAGTTTTGTTGAAAGATTTTTTATAACACTAAGGCCAATTTTCCTACAAGTTCATCCATCATTAATTAACCAAACTCGCAAATCAATTGTATAGAGGGAAAAAAAAAAGGAAAAAAAAATCAAGAAGAGAGACAAAGCACCAGTTAAAATGTTTCTACTTCCGTTAAACCAGTAAAATTGAACATATATTATTTTATTATGTGCTAAAAATCAATAAATTCTATTATGGTAAAGTGATCAATATATTTAAGAAAGATACTAGTATCGAATCACCTTCTTTGCAAAATCGAGGTTCCAAGAAATTATTAAAATTTAATAGACAGTAAAGACTTTAACTTTTACGTTTGCTAAAGAGATTACAAAAGTAGAAGAAAAATAGATGCTTTTACCTATAAAAAAATCAGCGGGGCCTACCTTTTTCTTCGAAATTGTGAAATGAGACAGCTACGTGTAATATATTTATAGAACAGAACTTTTTATATTAAAAGACTAAACTTTTTGGTAAATTGACTGTGCAAATGCTTGAATATTGATTCAAAATGTACCTAAGAAGCAACAAACAAATAGATATTCTCTGTAGACAGCTGCAAGGTGCTTCACGACAATCCGCGTGTATGTAAAATAGACTTTCTGATTGACCATATCTATTAAAACTTTAAGGATTTCCTAGCCATTTGTTGGCGATTCAAATGTCAAGTTCACATTGTCATAATTCAAATCAGGAGTTGGTAACTTCATGAATGTAAAGTCATTTCCAATTCTGCACCAAAATTTACGTCATTTTATACCAAAATTTACGTTAAATCTTGCATCGAATTAAAAATTATTTTCGATCATTACACCAAATGAACAATATTTAATTATTTTCTTCTCTTTTTTTTATTCTATATAATTTATATTTCTTGAAAAATAATTTATTTATTAATTTTACAAAAACATAAATTACTAAATAAATAATTAAGTTAAATTAACGAGGATATTAAATTCATTAATAAATATAAAAAAACCTAGTACAATTAGTAGAAATACTACATCAATGAAAATATTAAATCATACCATTAAGAAATAGTGCAGTGCATTTCGAATTTAGATATTATGATATTTTGAAATTGAAATATTATTGCAATATGAGTCTCTTTATCTTTGATTTGTCTATTTCGTTGTTGTAATATATTTCGTGTTAACTTTAAATAATCGTATTTGTTATATTTTAAATTTTTTTTGTATTCTTATTTTAATTAGTTCATTGATTATTATTTTTTACATTTAAAATTTATTTTAAATGCAAAAAAATAATAATAAAAATAATGAAAGTTATTGTATTAAAAAATATATAACACAAGTGACACAAACACCCTCCATCAATTACTTTGACAAATGGAAAAATTGGCAAGTATGACTTTGCACCATTTCGCACCAAAATGGTGCAAACTTTGGGGTCACATCGAAGAGCTTTTGCACCAAATTTTGATGAAATTTGGTGTTTTGTTACATCCATTGGAGATATCCTAACTTCCATCTTTTTCATCTCTTAGGAAATTAGGTCGAACACGCGACTGGCTGGACACAAAAACCAAACTAACCAATAATTTTAGGGGAACTTAGACCTACTGCCCAAAAAATAAGAGTATTAAACTAATCAGAATTAAAATTCGCGTATGAATTACGTCCAAGACATCAAAGTCCAAAGAAGCCCACAAATTGATTTTGACATTTTTATCTTCTTCTTTTTTTGTAGTTTTTTTTGTCAATTTGAGTATTTTATCATTATTTTGAATATTTGTCAAATTTTTAAATTTCTGTCACTTTTCGTTTAATAGTCTTTCTTTTCTTTTCTTTTCTTTTCTTTTTTTACAAGATTGTGAGTTAATTATTCCATAGAAATATTGGTTTAAAGAGATAAAACATATCACTCTTTTACATTATAGTTTTTTGCATTGATTTATCTTACATCCTTCAAAAAAGTGATTGCCACATAATCATTCCGGAGCTTTGTTGGATGAGGCGTAACAATTTCAACAATAAAATAAGGGTATTAAATTAGTAATTATCTTTAGAAAACACAAAACTAACCATGGAGGAAAAAAAAAGAACTAAAAATTCGTCCCTATTTAATAGGGAGTAAAATTAGATTTTAGTATATTTTATTAAAAGTTGATGAAATATATGATTGAAAGTTGTCGATCTCATAAAATTTGTTGTTAAAATTAATTGTTGAATTAGATTTATATTAAAATTTGAAATTTAATTTTCATCGAACAAGGGCTTCATGAGAGAAGAAAAAAGGGAAAAGAATCCCTTCGCGATTCAAACAAGAGTTTTTCTTATGGATGGTCCCCACCAAGCACTAAGGATACACCCTTGAAAATTCGTAGGGTTGAACAAAACTCTCTAATCGAATCGACCGGAACCGAGCATCTTTTTAAGTTAAATACTCAAAAGAGTATCTAAATCGAGAATCGATGGGTTCGGTTCAATTCTCAGTTCTAGATCAAGAATCGAAGAACTGAATTTTTCCTAATTTTTTATTATTCATTTATTTTAAATAAGCCAAATTATTTTATTTTTTCTAAATAAAATTGCTAACTAGTTAATTTAGCTCAAATCCAAAAATTTGATTTTCTTATTTTTAATTTTCAGTCCAAATCCAACTTAATCAAATTAACCTAAGTTTGTTGACCTAGTTTATTCGTAAATGGCCTAATCTGGGGGTTTAGGAACTGAACCTGTTCCACTAGTGCAAGATAACCTTCCAAGAGAGCAAAATGTACATCAACCACTTAGAAACACAGTCGATTTTTATCATTGATCGTAACGATCTCCAAAACCATACAATAACCCTTTTGTCTTGACCCTAAATCTCATATTCACGATTGAAAAATCCAACTGAGACACAAATAGACCACAATTGTTGCTGTAGCAAGGGCCTTTTACAAGGTTAATCTTTAAAACACAGATTGGTTTGAGTATTTTCAAACTAAAATCATAGAAGAGAAGAAGCAAAGTCGGACAAAGGCTAGAGAGAAAAAGAAGAGTATTCTGGAAGACACAAATGAACCATCCCCCAAAAATCGAGAGTTAAATGAGATTTAATTGGACCAAAATAATCTCACCGTCCATCTATATCAATGGTCCAAATGTAACCCAAAGAAGCACAACTCTTGCCGAGTTAAGAAGGCCAATTGGGGATTGTCAAATCAACCGTCCACAGTCCAATGGCCTCTAGTGGCAAATGTCAAAAATAACACTCAGTTTAAAGTGTTTTGAGAAACACACTTCTTTCATGAAGTCATTAACATGACTCAAAATCCCAATTTGAAGTTCTGACCCTTCGACACTATAGTTTCAGATAACTAGATTTGCTGTAATGTTGTCTTTTGGTGTGCAAAATCTTAAAAGGCAACTGTAAAGCCTAAAAATGATGCATAGAAGAGAATTCAGACTCTTTCTCCTGATCATGATCAAGCCAATACAACTTCATTCTTGCTTTGACGAATCATTTCTGATTACCGAGAACAGACAAATTCTCCACTATTCAGTTTTGTGTATCCTATAGAATTAGATCATTCTCGATGAAAATTGGTAGAGTTTCTGTACAGAAATTCGAATGGTGCAAGTTGTAGTACTATTTTTCTGAATCTTTAACAAAGTTTAAGCTAAATCACAAGCCACATGTTGGGAAATTATTTAATTTTTCATGTGGACCGACGTATGTAATTAATT